CACACGCTGCCCTGTCATGGCTCGGGTCCCACTGGGGGTGGTGATGAGGCTATGTGGGATACGTTGGAAACGTAAGTCATACTCATGCGTTTGTGGGAAAATTCAGCTATCGGTCTCTTTATCACCCTAAAACACAATAGGGTGAATACAACTCATAAAAAGCAAGCATTGTTGCCTAAAACAACCTTTTAAAAACATACAATAATGCACAATTGGACTATGCTCAATCGAGAATGGGATTGTGCCCCCTCATTTGTACCTTTTTGTATTCTCGTCCACTTCCCTCCCTTCCCTTGCTCTACAGCAAAAGCTACATCGCTCCTTCAGCCTGGTCCACTTCGCGATCTACCTGCTGCGGAGTCTGAGCGAGATGCAGGAATGGGAGGGTGGTGGCAGTCTTTTCTTCCCGAGACGCACCTATTGTCCAATCACAGTGCGCCAGTTTGGGACTCGAGCCAACACCTTCGTGTCGTATTGTTCACTACCGATCAATATGTACAACGAGAAGCTCTACGTCTTCTTGTGGATCTGGATCTGCTTTGTGCTGGCCGTCACCATCTTCAGTCTGCTCACTTGGCTGCTCAGTCTTCTCACCCGCGGCACTAACCGACACTTTGTGCGTCGCCTCCTCTTCTGGTCCCACTATCCGTTGACAGCATTGGCCAATAGCAAGTCGGCTGAACTGCACGCTCTGCAACAGCATCAACATTCCGAGAGCCTGCGCAAATTCGTCGAAGAGACCGTTCGTCCCGACGGCGTTTTCCTGCTTCGAATGATCAAACTGAACTCCGGCGCCGTCCTCGCCAGCGACATTGCAGCCGCGATGTGGCGTCATTTCGTCGAGGCTGATACTCTGCGTGTCGGTCAGCCCGTCTGTCTGGAGATGAGTCGACGGCAGATGCACTCTACACCCGGCAACCAACAGTTAGGACAAACTGGCGAAGATCACGGCCACGGCAACAGCAACAGCAACAGCAACAGCAACGTCAGCGGGGGGGGCAGAGGTCATAGATCGGCAGAACCTAACGATATGCTGAAAGGTCCGTCGGCCGAGAGTGTCGAGACGCTGAAGGAGACGCGAAAACATCTGCCCAGCAACAAGCGGAACGGAGACAGCGGCGACATGATTGCTATGGCGCCGCCCGACTACTCGGACACCGCCAACATGATGCAGCCGCGGTTGCTGCCGTCTGCCCCTGTCAACCTCGGTCATCCACTTCCGTCGGAAGCGGCCAAAGAAGGGTTCTACAAGAAAGTGCAATCACTAAATTCGTTGGTCTAGAAGCAGCCGCGAGAGGACAAGGATGACTCTTTAATCGCCAGCTCGCTTGACCCTCTTTCACGGACCAAGTGAACATACACTTTTATCAAATACACCCCTTTCCAGAAGGCCTGAGCCTTGTGCTTTTCACACCCCCACCACACGGAAACACACACACCCAACTGAGCACACATGCTGTGGATCGGTGTGTATGCTTGTAAGGCAGTGATAAAGGGGGAAAAAACAAGCAAAGATGGAGCATTTTCGCGCGGAAGGTGCATTTTGTACGAAAGGATGTGAAATGAAGATAATCATAGATCAACATGACTGGCTGAGTCTTGATTGACTTTGATACGATGTTCGGGTCGACGCAGTCCACGAATCATGCTCCCTTGGTTCCTGAAGTATAGTTTACGCTACGTCAAGTCGTTGAATCCTTTACAAACTGGAAGATGCGTCCAACTTTTTGCCTGAAATTCGGCATAACTCAATAAAATGATCTAAATTTCCTGAAAATCGTCCTGAATCTGACGAGGTAGCATGTTTGTGGAGACTTTTCATTTCGCGTGAAAGTGTGTCTGATGGAGTGATTGGTGGGTCGATCTCAACAGAAGACGACATGTTATTTATTTGTTTTAAAGCCGTTTGACTTTAACACGACTTTCTGGTTGACGTAATCCCTCGCTGTTATCCATTCTAGCTTTGGTCCAATTTCTGTGCTACGTGTTCGGCCATCTCGTGGACTGCGTCAGCATGAATATCGTCTAAAAGCCAAACGGCTGCAGTACAACGAGTTTCATTCTTAATCATCTGGTGAGATCGACCAACAAATCTCTTCTTCATGCACTTTCATACGAAATGCAGGTCCTCCTAACAGTCTTCAGTTAGCAATTAGTCAACAAGACTCTTTTTCTTTTACTTCTTTTTGACATTGTGTCAACTTGAAACCTTTGCAGAAGTGAGTCTCAGCTCTGATGAAGAAAAGCTCAGTCCATTTACGCCCTAAACACAAATGACTGTAGCAAATCGGGAATTGACGGCCGTCTTTCGGTGAGATCAACCAATGAATCTCTTTATCAGACACACTTTCATTCGAAATGGAAGTCTCCACAACAATGTTATCCTAACAGATTCATGTAACCCCAATTGCTGCTCGAATATGCAAAGAAGTTCTCGCTTAACATCAAAAATCGAGTCGTGTATCTCGAATAAAAGGAGGCCTGATCAAAACCACAAGTGTTATGGAAACGTTCATTTAGTAGAATAGTGGCAAGGATGAAGGGATCGATAGAACTGACTAACCGAAAGACGACGACCTTTCGCGTTATTCGGCAACGATGAGTCTAGAATATGACATTCCGATTGACACAGTACACATACCAGATTTTGTAAAAGGTATTCGACTAACTCTGATTGTTGAAGCCAACAGTCTTTGCAGGCAGTTTTGCGCCCAGTCATCCTTTTCGAGAGGAAAAACAGGTCTCTTCAACAGGAAAGCGACCAGATATGACATTATTGAATAGCGATCTTACCAAAAATGGTCCAAAATTTGTCTACAAAACTCGATTTGACTAAAGGAAGCAACCATATTTCCTTGAAAACCGGCTCTTTAGATTAGCAGATTGACTAGATTTCAATCAATCTGACGAAGTAGCATCCTTGTGGAGACTTTCATTTCGTGTGAAAGTGTGTCTGATGGAGTGATCGGTGGGTCGATCTCCAGATTATTTTGTGCTCAGCCACTCTGTCGAATAGGACAACATTTGTCTCCAACTTGACAGCAACTACAGCGTCGTTGTTTCCGTGACAACCCTTTTTTGTAAGTACGCAGCGTTGGTGGATTTCGACGAATCTGTCTAAAAAGCTTCCACTGCTTCTATCCTGTTTCTATCTCTAAAACCAAGTCTCTGACTTCCCATGCCATAGTCTCTTGTGTGCCAAACCGCAAAGGTTGTGGTTCTACATTGAACCAAATCAAAACAAGCTGTACCACAACATTTGTGGGTTGACATACAAGAGACTAGGGCATGGGAAGTCAAATACTTGGTATTAGAGATAGAAAGAGGAAAGACGCGGCGGCGATAGGAGCTAGGGGGCTGACGGTAGGTCTGTTTTTACCATAAACGTGGTCCATGTAGAAAATGAGTGACCATGTACTTACACAGAGTTTTTAGCCTCGAATTAATCACCCAGACACAGGGAAAGGGCAATTAACGCCTCGAGCAACACAGATTAGGTGGCAGGAATCGAGTGAAATATGTGAATCAGGGAGAGAGTAGACTGATCTTACGCGGCAAGAGGGAGACTTTGATAGGACCCAGGAAAGGACTACATAACAATATGACATATTTTGGTCAACATTCCCAGCACAATGGGGAAGGGGGTGAAAACGCCACATGGAGTGTGAAGGGTTTTCATGGATACCACTCGAAAGAGCACACCACACTACATCAAAATAAGCACGGTAAAATTGTTACAGGGAAGGTGTGATAGGCTGATTTAGCAAATGTGAATATCCCAGGGCAGAAGGGGAGATACCACAACTGTTTGGTCAAAGAATCGACTTCACTTGTCTCTTTGACGAGTTGTTGTGTGGTGCTAAGATTGGCGAGACTTACTGACGATGCCGGCGAAACGTCTGGGAATGTACCACGTCTACGGTTCAACTTTGGAAATGATCATGCAATCAATGAACCCCGAACTAGGTGCGTTTAAATTAGTCTTCCTACCAATATGACCATGTTGCGAAACAAGGTCAAACAACCTCTGTAGATCGAAAGGAGACTGCGACCACACAAAAGGTCACACCATCTTGGTCTTCATACCTTAAATAAAATATTGTTGCGTAAAATTTCATTTCGCATAAAAGCCTGTCTGATGAAGTGCTTGGTAGTTTGATCTCGTCTACGGACGACGGCCGATTTGCGTTATTCTACGCTTGTTGTCATCTCCACAACAATTTTACACCATCAGACTCATCAAAGCCCAATCCCTCTTCGTAAATTCATAGAAGAAAGCGAGGAGATCAAGAGTGTTATTAGAAGAATCCTATTATGGAAAGGTATGTTGTCTTCCAGTCGCCTACCATCCGAGCCTCATTAAAAATGGGACTTACGGGCCCCCTCCACTGTCCAAACTAGCCTCCGCTCTCACGAGTTCTACTGCTTTGGCTACATGTAGCCATTGCGTCAGCTCGATGTGTCTTGTCGGCATGACCGCAGATGGCGTTGTCACAGCCTTGACCGCCGGTTAAAATGGGTGAGGCTACAACTTGAAAAAGGATCAAGCAAAGCTGGACAATCACTCCAACCAAACCAACTTGCCACTCGCACGTCAGCTGATGTCCGTCGGTGTACACCAAACGTCATATTTTCAACTGACCTTTGAGCCCTTTGTACACAGGCACACCCGCACACATGCACACATACAGTCTGTCTTCCCCTCGGCTTGCCCACATGAAGTCGGTGCCGATCAAGCCGATGTGAAGCTTTGTTGCAGTTGCAGAGGCCACCACGACTGACATGGTTTGCCTGAATCGGTTGCATTTTATCGATCTGTCGATCTCATGTGGCGCTGGTTTCCAGACCTTATCGCGCACCCACTTGCCCCCGACACACCCTCTCGTCACATGGACGCCAACAAATGCCAGCGTTGCCTCAGCCTGTATGCATACGGACTTGGAGGCTGGGCAAACAAGTGTGGCTGAGTGTATCCTCCTAATTATTGTAGCAAGGATTGACGGGCTGTTGCAACAAGGCGGTAAAATAATAAACATGTCATGTTGGTCAAGAGGACAACAAACATTCCGGCAGACCGAAACATCTTTAACAGTGATTTTAACTCAGGTCCAAAGTTATAAATTTGAGCTGGGTTAAGAGTGTAAGAGAAAGTTACTGGCAGAGTCAAGCCGTGCAAATGGACAGTGTAACGGAAATTCGGTGAATAATCAGTTTAATGCGGGTTAAACTACAAGTACGAGTCAGTGTATCGAGGGGAAAAGTCTGGTGCCAGTGGAAGAAATGACTTTACTTTCTCCTTTAATTTAATCTAATACCCTAAGCAAGCACAAAGTCCGTGACTCTACAAGCTGGCCGCAATTTATGCCAATTGAAACCAGTCAAAATGGCACATTTAAACCTTACACTCCATCTATTCGCGTATTTATTATTACCACTTACACACAGTAATACACAAATAGGTAGTTGATTCGGAGGAAACCAAATGGTCTCTCCTCGATCAACTCATACGTGAAATTATTTTTGTTGATTACTTTCACTCAACCTGGCCTCACAAAGATGCCTTCATTTTGGATTAAAAGCCCGAAATCTGCTTACCTCCAGAGCCAATGTTGTCCTCTCGGGCAATGTCATGCGTACCGAATCGGATGTTGACATCGAGCCTCAACGAGGTCGATGTCCCAGTTCATTGTGAGGGAGGGGTACAATATTATTCACAGATTAAATCAAGCTCTCGCCTCAGGTTCCAAGGTTTTATTTTGCAACGGAATGACTTATAATTACTCAATATTCTGCTCTGGTTTCAACCAAACAAAGGTTATCGACAATTAGAAATATCAAGTCGAGGCATGGCCTTAAGTATTTAGCAAAGAATGTCCGGTAGATATGTGGATAGTCAGTGAGGGTTTTGAAGAATGCATCTTCATAGAGGGCTTGCGAATTATGGTAGGATATTAGAAAGTATAAAATTTTGGATACATATTTCTTATCATGTTTTATGTCCCTGTGAGAGGTTGAATAAATTTCCTGATGCATTAATCAAATCGAACCAGCATGTTGAGAATTAATTAGTTTAAGCTAGATTTATTTGATGAATCATGTATAAATTAATGCAATAAAGTATAGGCAATTTTCTTAGATGACTGGTAAAAATAAACACTTGCTTAATAATTGACCCTGAGAGACGATAAGAACCTCTCTTATGTAACAAGAAACCAGCTGCCAAGTGTTTATATAGGAACAAAATGTAACTTATAGAGAGCTAGTAGTAAGTGTCCTTGAACAGCAATGCTGGTAACATGAGAGAAAATGAATCTTCTGGCATGTATTTCAACTGCTTAAGTTTAGAGTCGAGTCAAATGGAGGAAGATGCGTTGAACACCTCGATTTTTAAACCGTGTATATTTCCCTTGGAATAAATACAAATACTCAATAGAAATGACTTTGTTCGCAAACAGACGTGGTTTTAATCTGAGTCCGCATCCTAAGCAGTCAGCACCATAGCTGTTTATCGAACTCTGTCAAATTAAGTTCTGGAGGAAGAGACTCCAAGCAAGCCAAAATTGTGTTAGGTTGTGTTATTATGGCAAAGGGACTGATTAATTTAAAATAAGTCAGCCAATATTGCACAACTCTGCCTGAAAGCCTAAAGTGAGGTGGTTTCCTGATGAGAATTTTTTCACCTTTTGTCGCTTGAGAGAATTTTTTCCACACTGGTATGAATAGGCTATATGATGACATTGAATTCCACATGGCTTGGCTTACAAAATGCCTCCTCATCCAGGTTAGATTGTAGCTTCGTCCACACTTTAAATGGTCTCATCAACGTCCCCAACTGGATTTAAAACCGGGTCGTGACCAGGCTCGTGACATTACCATTCAGCCACACAGTCATGGATGCCAGTGGGTTACTGAACAGATTTAACACTAAGGGCAAACCAGGGCTCTCCCAATCATCATTTATTGTGTGATTTTTAATGAGGCAGTTGTGGGACTGATTAATTATTTCCTAAGAACTTAGTCACTCTACGTCCACAGTCCGAGTTTGGAAATGATCATGCATACAATGGACTCCGGACTAAGAACGTTCCTCTAAGTCTTCCTACCAATATGACCAAGTTGCGAAAAAGAAGGTCAAGCAACCTCTATACAACCTCTTTTTGTCCTTAAGTTACTTTAAACGACCTAAGCTAAGTAAATTCCTCATTAGGAATTACAGATAATCTCGAATTGTTTTTGTTCTACTTCTAAAATAGAAATGACGAAAAAAAGTACGCATTCTAGTACGAGTACAATAGAATCATAAATATAATTGATAACCAAAAGTGAATTAATCTTTAAAATCATTGGCTTAAGCATTATGACAGTCTTTCATGTCATATAATCTGGCATGAGTGATAACGTCATATAGACCAGTAAACATCCCCTGGTATGTATCTCAATATGTTAACGCTACTAGTAGACAATTAGCCGTTTGACCTCTTTCCTTAAGCACGAACTTGACTAATATATAGAGGTTGTTTGGCTTTGTTTTCGCAACTCGGTCATATTGGTAGGAAGACTTAGAGAAACGCACCTAGTCCGGAGTCCATTGTCTGCATGATCATTTCCAAAGTTGAACCGTGGACGTAGAACATTCCCAAACATTTTCCCTGCATCGTCAGTGAGTATCGCCATTCTTTGCACCACACAACAACTCGTCAAAGAGACAAGTGAAGCCGATC